GTTGGGTTGTTACTATTGATCGGTGGATTAAAATAACTTATCGGATATGTTTTATGGGTTAATTCTAAACCTTTTTTGTACGAAATATTTTTTTCTATCAATTATATTTATTGAGTTATGCAAGATAATTGTTGAAAAAGTCAAAATTTGTATTTTTCTCAAGTTGGGTTGGTACTATTGATCGGTGGATTAAAATAACTTATCGGATATGTTTTATGGGTTAATTCTAAACCTTTTTTGTACGAGATACTTTTATCTATCTGTTATATTTACTTAGTTATACAAGAAAATTGTTGAAAACGTTAACATTTCTATTTTTCTTTGGTTGGGTTGGTACTATTGATCGGTGGATTAAAATAAGTTATGGGGTATGTTTTATGGGTTAATTCCTAAGCTTTTTTGTATGTAATGTTTTTTTCCATCTGTTATAATTATTGAGTTACAAATGAGAATTGATGGAAATGTCAAAATTTCTATTTTATTTAAGTTGGGTTGGTACTGCTGGTCGGTGGATGAAAATAACTTATTGGATATGTTTTATGGGTTAATTCTAAACCTTTTTTGTACGAAATATTTTTTTCTATCAATTAAATTTTTTTGAGTTATGCAAAATAATTGTTGAAAACGTCAAAATTTGTATTTTTCTCAAGTTAGGTTGGTACTATTGATCGGTGAATCAAAATCACTTATGGGGTATGTTTTATGGGTTAATTCTAAACCTTTTTTGTATGTTATGTTTTTTTCCATCGGTTATAATTATTGAATTATACATGACAATTGTAGAAAACGTCAAAATTTCTTTTTTCTTATGTTGGGTTGGTACTGCTGATCGGTGGATTAAAATATCTTATTGAATATATTTTATGGGTTAATTCTAAACCTTTTTTGTATGAAATAATTTTTTCCATCGGTTATAATTATTGAGTTATACAAGAAAATTGTTGAAAACGTCAATATTTCTATTTTTCTTGGGTTAGGTTGGTACTGCTGATGGGTGGATTACAATAACTTATTGGATATGTTTTATGTGTTAAATCTAAACCTTTTTTGTATGAAATATTTTTTTCCATCGGGTATAATTATTGAGTTATTCGTGATAATTCTTGAAATCGTCAAAATTTCTACTTTTCTTGGGTTAATAAAAATCCCCCGCCCCTTGATTTAATTGCGCTTCGGTTCTTTACGCTTCACGTGAAGATACCGTTTTACTTGCCTAAACCTTTGTTCATAATGTTTATTGAGTTTTTCATTTAATTCATCTTTTTGGTTTAATTAACTTGTTTGATGATCCTTGGTAAGATGTTTGAAGATTACTTTTGTGAAAACCTGACCCCCTTTTTTTTTACAGTTTAATACATTTTATATCCTCACTTTTCAACGTGGTTCACAAATTTAAATTTTACAACTATTTTTCTTCATTTCAAGAAATGGTGTTAGAGATGAACTTCCTACACGATTGTTATTGTAATTCGTTTTCTAATATAAGATCTTTTCTCCATTTCAACTTGTAACTCTCTTCTTGACGGTAATTATACACCTGCCTTTGCTGCTAACATACCTGTTACTTAAAATACTTGTAACTTTTCAGTCGTGCTTACGAAGAAGACCTTTTAGGTCGAAACAATTGTCGCACCGAAACAAAATTTAATAAACAATTATCATCGTACACCTTGAATTTTTATTTCTTAACAACAATGCGATGAACATGGAACCCCAAATCGCTAAATTTCTTGGGTTAGGTTGGTACTGCTGATCGGTGGATTAAAATAACTTATCTGATATGTTTTATGGGTTGATTCTAAACCTTTTCTGTACAAAATATTTTTTTCTATCAATTATATTTATTGAGTTATGCAAAATAATTGTTGAAAACGTCAAAATTTGTATTTTTCTCAAGTTAGGTTGGTACTATTGATCGGTGGATCAAAATAACTTATGGGGTATGTTTTATGGGTTAATTCTAAACCTTTATTGTATGAAATGTTTTTTTCCATCGGTTATAATTATTGAGTTATACAAGAAAATTGATAGAAGCATCAATATTTCTATATTTCTGGGGTTAGGTTGGTACTGCTGACCGGTAGATTAAAATATCTTATTGAATATATTTTATGGGTTAATTCTAAACCTTTTTTGTATGAAATAATTTTTTCCATGGGTTATAATTATTGAGTTATACAAGAAAATGGTTGAAAACGTCAAAATTTCTATTTTTCTTGGGTTGGGTTAGTACTGCTGATCGGTGGATTAAAATAACTTATTGGATATGTTTTATGGGTTAATTCTAAACTGTTTTTGTATTAAATATTTTTTTCCATCGGTTATGATTATTGAGTTATACAAGAAATTTGTTGAAAACGTCAAAATTTTTATTTCTCTTGGTTTAAGTTGGTAATGCTGATCGGTGTATTAAAATAACGTATTGGATATGTCGAATTAATAATTTATTTTTTACACAGTTTTTTATACACGAACTGTCAAATATTTAAATGACACTTTCAACTTTGATCGGGAGAGTGCTACTTCGGATTTAATTTTTATCAATAGATGGCGTTTTAGTGCTAATCAGATATTTATTGATATTGAATTTGGATTATTTATTCAGTAATAAATAGTATTAAGGAGAATTCGATTAAAATTAAGGAAGCTTGTGTATGTGTTTATTGAAAATAAATTTATAGGTTAAGTGATAACGTGTAATCTAATCCTTTTATTTTTACTTTTTAGGTTAAAAGGTGTTGTGGATTAAGCCCCTTTATCATCGTCGGGTTCGTCTAATTCGAAAACTTCTAATGGCGGGCAACAATAATGTCTTATGTGACGAGGCATTGTCATCCCGTGTTCGCAAGCTGCAACACGTTTTATGTAACGTTCAACTGCATCAACCAATTCATCGGGAACTTTGGGGCCTATTCCCGGTACGGCAGGTATGGATATTTCTTCTATTTTTACTTCTTCTTCTTCTTCCGGTAACACTTCCTCTTTTTCCACCTTATCCCCGTATTCTAATTTAAGCGCCCTCTCCAACTCCGACATGTCGTAATCCATCTCACCAACTCCACTTTCTAATGTAATTACCGTTCCTTCTTCTGTCCCTTCTTTCTTTGAGTCGGGGCTTAAAGGGCGTTCATCGTCTAGATCTTCTTTGTGAACTAATTTTTCTTTATGATGATCTTGGTCGTGGTCATGGTCGTCATCATCATGGTCAAAATCATGATCGTGGGGTTCGCCCTCTTCTTGTTCGGCGACTAGCGGGGCTTCGCCTTCCTCTTGGTGTTCACCTTCGCCTATTTGGCCCTCTTCTTGCTCTTTATGTTCTTCTTCGTGGTCTTTTTCTTTTTCGTCATCTTTTTTGTCATCTTCAGCCCCGGATTTTTCTTCGTAATCGATAACTTCATCGGTTACTCCGCCCGATGATTCTTTTTGACCAAGCGTAAGCATTAATTCGTCTAATTCATCCCTAAAAAAATTAATTAATTAAAATAAATACTTGAATTTTTTTAACTTACTTATCTGGATCGCGTTCTTTAAGCATGTCATCACCCACAATATCGGGGCAAGAAATTAAGGAACCTTCGCCTTTAATACTTTCAGCCGATTCTTCTTCCGCGGCTATTACTTCGACGCTTTTTACGCTTGATTCGGGGGTGATTGATGACTCGGATTCGTGTCGTTTCTTTTTTTTCTTCTCCTTTTTCATTTCTAAGCCTAAATAGACGTCGGTGAAATATAAATTTGGGAGTATTTGGGGTTGTGATGCGTCGATCATCGCTAAGAACTTGTAAACTTCTAGGAACATCTCAACGGTGATCATGGCTGAGCCCCCCTCGGGTTCTTCCGTCATTATCTCGCAAAACATGATCATCGTTTGGGTTAAATTATCGTTTAAAAATCCGACGCAAATTCCAATAAATTTGTTCCATGGGATTTTATCCGGGTTTTGGAAACCTCCTAAACATAGTATTTGAAGGAGGTTGTTGTGGTCTAAACACGATCCGAACCATCGATCCCACAGTATTCGGTAATTAACCGCTTTGCAATTATTTAATTGGTAGTTTAGGGCTTTTAACCATCCGGGGGTTATTCCTAAGTAACTTCGTGGAATTGGATATTCCAAACGAGGCTTTACTGGGGGTGGTACGTTTAAAGCTAAGCAACGAAAATACGCCGTTGACCACCTAAAAAAAAATTTTTATTTGAGGTTATGTTTTCAAAAATCAACTTACTTTAATAAATCCGTTGGTTGCGATCTTATCGCGGCTTTTGCGTATTGCCGGAGTAAATACGGAAAAGTCGGTGGTATACAAATTTGTTGGTGGCAATATAAATCGTTTAACGGCATTATTTAAAAAAAATTGGTAAAAATAGACGTTTAAAGGTTAAAATGACGTTTTGTGTTGACAGTTTCAATGGTTGCCATGGTTACGATTGATTGATTTTTTTTATTGCCAACCTAAAGAATTTAAAATTTTAACAAAACAGTTTTCTTCTCAAAAATTAAAGTTAATTATTAATTAAAGTTGTTTTTGATGAAAGATTAAACCTAAATTAAAAAAGGTTAAGGTCGAATTCACGAATATAACGAGTTAGAGAAAATAAGGGGGAACTCCAAGCGATAAAAATCAATTAAAATTTATAACACAAAAACAGTAATTTGTAATAATTGTAGCGTATAATTCGATTCTAGGATGCGTTTATTTACTTTTTTTTTCCACAATACCCTAATTTAGTTTGGTTGCGTTCGACGACGTAAAAAGAAAGTGTGGTGAGGTAACCCCCACCTTCAAAAACCAGCGTCTTGGGGCCGTCGTGGAATGAAATTCCTGATTTTTACACATTTTAAATACACAGGCAGGTTACGCTACCGACGATTCAGTTTACCATTTGGTTTCGTAAAAGGAGAAAGCCTCATATGGTTTTTACCAATAAAGTGTTATATAAGTTTTAAAAAAATCATAAAGTTTAATTCAAATTGGATTAACTCAATCATTAAGAAGAATTAATCGAAAAATTTCGGTCAAAATTTTAAAAGAAAACCTAAAAAGTAAGTATTTTGGAATTTTTTACGTAAAACTTTAATAAAAATACTTTCTCTCGTGTTACGAATATTAATCTCTCTTTCGACAACGTATTATGAAACGAATAAGAAAATGGGACACCGAACATTGTAATAAAATCTAATTTTCGTTTAACTAAAAAACAAAGTAATTATAAAACAAGCGTCAATTAATAATTACCACCGAGAAGTTATTATTTTTTGCGGTTTGGTTTTTTTATGACAGATTAAAAATAGTTTTTAACTCAATTAAAAGTGATTAAAAGGAAAAATTTAAATTGCTTTGGTGGGTTTATCGGAAGAAAGTGAAACTTTTAACCTTTAACATGAATTAGTAAAACTTAAGTGTTTTAAGTGGAGTAAAACTTTCTATTTAATCGTTAATAGATGTATCTATTTACACATTTATGTTAATCAGTACTAAAAGTTTTAATAAAATTTTAACTTCACTTTTTGACATTTAACTGTCAAGTTGACATTTCATCAAAATCAATTACTCTATTAATGACGTTGAATTTTGTTAACATTGATATTTAATTGATAATCATTTACGATTTACGTTTTTTTTCAAAGATGTGTTTTTATCTAATTTCTTATAAAAGATCAATTTGTTAAACATCACTTTTATGTCAGTTACTTTTTGACGTTTCACCGCAATCAATTCGTGTAAGGTCTATTAATGACGTTGAATTTTGTTAACATTGATATTTAATTAATAAGTTGAAATAAATCATCATCTACGATCTACTTTTTTCTTCAAAGATGTGTTTTTATCTAATTTATTATAAAAAATTAAAAATCAATTTGTTTAAACGTCACTTTTATGTCAGTTACTTTCTGACGTTTCACCACAATCAATTCGTGTAAGGTCTATTAATGACGTTGAATTTTGTTAACATTGATTTTTAATTAATAAGTTGAAATAAATCATCATCTACGATCTACTTTTTTCTTCAAAGATGTATTTTTATCTAATTTATTATAAAAAATTAAAAATCAATTTGTTTAAACGTCACTTTTATGTCAGTTACTTTCTAACGTTTCACCACAATCAATTCGTGTAAGGTCTATTAATGACGTTGAATTTTGTTAACATTGATGTTTAATTAATAAGTTGAAATAAATCATCATCTACGATCTACTTTTTTCTTTAAAGATGTGTTTTTATCTAATTTATTATAAAAAAATAAAAATCAATTTGTTAAAACGTCACTTTATGTCAGTTACTTTTTGACATTTCACCACAATCAATTCGTGTAAGGTCTATTAATGACGTTGAATTTTGTTAACATTGATTTTTAATTGAAAAGTTGTGATAAATCATCATCTATGATCTACGTTTTTCTTCAAAGATGTGTTTTTATCTAATTTATTATAAAAAATTAAAAATAAATTTGTTTAAACGTCACTTTTATGTCAGTTACTTTTTGACGTTTCACCGCAATCAATTCGTGTAAGGTCTATTAATGACGTTGAATTTTGTTAACATTGATATTTAATTAAATAAATCATCATCTACGATCTACTTTTTTCTTCAAAGATGTGTTTTTATCTAATTTATTATAAAAAATTAAAAATTAATTTGTTTAAACGTCACTTTTATGTCAGTTACTTTCTGACATTTCACCACAATCAATTCGTGTAAGGTCTATTAATGACATTGAATTTTATTAACATTGATATTTAATTAATAAGTTGAAATAAATCATCATCTACGATCTACTTTTTTCTTCAAAGATGTATTTTTATCTAATTTATTATAAAAAATTAAAAATCAATTTGTTTAAACGTCACTTTTATGTCAGTTACTTTCTGACGTTTCACCACAATCAATTCGTGTAAGGTCTATTAATGACGTTGAATTTTGTTCACATTGATTTTTAATTGATAAGTTGAAATAAATCATCATCTACGATCTACTTTTTTCTTCAAAGATGTGTTTTTATCTAATTTATTATAAAAAATTAAAAATCAATTTGTTTAAACGTCACTTTGATGTCAGTTACTTTTTGACGTTTCACCACAATCAATTCGTGTAAGGTCTGTTAATGACGTTGAATTTTGTTCACATTGATATTTAATTGACAATTTGGAATAAATCATTATCTACGATCTACGTTTTTCTTCAAACATGTGTTTCTATCTAATTTATTATAAAAAATTAAAAATCAATTTGTTTAAACTTCACTTTTATGTCATTTATTTTTTGACGTTTAATTATCAAGTTGACATTTCATCACAATCGATTCGTGTAAAGTCTATTAATGACCTTGAATTTTGTTCACATTGTTATTTAATTGATAAGTTGACAATTTTAAAGTTATTAAACACGAGATTTTCCCCCAAAATTAATTTTTACACGATATAACATTAAAAATGAAAAAGAGATGTTTAAAACGTCACTTTAATAAATTTGCTTTAACCACCTCCATTTCAATAACGTCATTTGACACTTAAACGTCACTTTTAAATTAAAAAAAAATCGTTTTCTTTTAACATTTAAAGCGTTAAATGAATTAAAATATCGTTTTTATATTAAAATTGATTGAAATTAAAACGATATTAAAAAGTTTCAAATTTAATTAGTAGATATTAAAAAATTTTTGTGTCGTAGTTAACTATTTCAGGTTGGAAAAAAAAATTATTTTAAAATCAAATTTTTTTTTAATTTCACATTTAATTTTTAAATTTAACACTTATTTTTTTATGTTAAATAATAAACAAATCGATTTTTTTAATTAATCACATTAAAAAAGTTTTAAAATTAAAATTTCGTTGATTGACGTTTATAAATAACTTCACGCTATACATCGAAATGTCATTTCGAATTGTCAAAAGTAATTTTTATTTTCAGCCTAAAAAATGGAAAATTTATCGAATTACCCGGATAGAATCGCCGAAACGTTCGAAAATAAAACCGTTTTTATCACCGGGGGTACCGGATTTCTCGGAAAAGTTTTGGTGGAAAAAATCCTTCGTTGTTTCAACGTAAAAAAACTTTTCCTACTCATCAGAGAGAAAAAAGGAAAAGATCCCGCTTCGAGATTAAAGGAAGTTTTCGATAACCCGGTAAGATAATAAAAAAAATCATTACCTAACTTATTTAAACATGTTTCTCTTTTTTACGATTATTAGTTGTTTGAAAAATTGCGTAACCTCCGCGGAGAAACCGCCTTCGACGTTTGCGTTCCGATTAGCGGCGACGTTGGGTTAAAAAATTTGGGGATATCCCCGGAAAATCGGGCGATTTTAATCAACGAAGTAGAAATCGTCTTCCATGGGGCCGCCACGATCCGATTCGATGATCCCTTGAAAAAGGCGGTCCTTTTAAACGTACGGGGGACCAAATTTATGTTGGAATTAGCGAAGGAGATGAAAAAATTAATGATTTTTGCGCACATCTCAACATCGTATTGCCATTTAGGCGAGAAAGTCTTGTACGAAAAAGTTTATCCACCACCAGCGAATCCACATCAAATTATTAAAACCGTCGAGTGGATGGAGGAGAGTTTAGTTGAGAATATGACCCCTACGTAAATTAATTTTAATTTTTTTTAACTTAATTAGTTGATTAATTTAAAATTTTAGGATTTTAGGGGATAACCCGAATACGTACGCGTTTACGAAAGGACTTGGGGAAGGATTAGTGAGCGAGCAAATGGATAAATTACCGGTGTTAATCTTAAGACCCTCAGTGGGTAATACTAATTAATAATTAATTAATTAATTAATTCTATTTAAATAATTAAATTCTTTTTAGTGGTCCCAATTTGGTTAGAACCAATTCCAGGGTGGACTGATAATATAAACGGCCCCACTGGGTTATTAATTGGGGCGGGAAAAGGAGTTTTAAGAACCATGTATTGTAATGGAGAGGGTTACGCCGATTTTGTGCCGGTTGATATCGTTGCGAATGCTTGTGTTACGGCGGTTTGGGATGCAATAAGAACTAAGTAATGATTTAATCATCTAAAATCATTTTTTTACATAAAATTTTTATCGTTTTAGTCGCACGAGGAAAATTTTTAATATATGTAGCACCGCGGATTACAAAGTATCTTGGGACGACATGATTGCGTTAGGAAGAAAAGTTGTGTACGAGAGGATGCCTTTAAATGGAGTCGCGTGGTACCCCGGGGGTTCCATGAAACGCTACAAATTCGTCCATAAGATTTGTGTGATTTTGTATCATTATTTACCCGCGCTTTTAATCGATTCGATCGTGCCTTTGTTTGGATATAAACCTTTGTAAGATGCCAAATTAAAATTAAAATCATTTTATTTATTTTTTTGATTTAGTATGTGGCAAATTCAACAAAGGATAACGAAAGGGTTCGATGTTTTTGAATATTACGCAAATAACCAATGGGACTTCTCTAATGAGGATGGGTTAAAAGCTGTCGATGAAATGAATCCGCGCGAAAAAGAATTTTATAAGCTAAACGGAAAGGGAATTGATTATTACGAATATTTTACTAATTGTACTCACGCCGCGAGGCTTTATATCCTAAAAGAAAGCGATGATACGCTCCCTGCAGCAAGAAGACACATGAAAATGTAATTATCTTCAATTTGTATCTTAATTTATTAATTTATTTTTTTTTTAGAATGTATTTCGTCGATTTATTCACAAAATTATTCTTTTTGAGCTTAATCCTTTACGTTTTATATCATTGGGTGGTGACACCGATTTTATCTAGGTTTTAACAACAAATACACAAACAAATGGGTATTATTTTAGTAGATATGGTTGTTTTTTTAAATGTGGATTTTAGAACGATAGATTTGTACGATTTTTATACTTTTTATACCTTTAAGAGAGTGCAATAAAAATCGATTATGTAAAAATTTGTTTATTTCTCAATAAATTTAGCTAAAAAGTTTAAAAATGTTTCCTTGAATGACCTCTAATTAGCCTTGACCTAGTTAAAATGAAAATTTTTCTCGAAACTTTGAGGATATCACCTTGAGTTCACCTTGAATGACCCCTAATTGACCTTGACCTAGTTAAAATAAAAATTTTTCTCGAAACTTTGAGGATGTCACCTTGAGTTCACCTTGAACGACCTCTAATTGACCTTGACCTAGTTAAAATGAAAATTTTTCTCAAAACTTTGAGGATGTCTCCTTGAGTTCACCTTGAATGACCTCTAATTCACCTTGACCTAGTTAAAATGAAAATTTTTCTCAAAACTTCGAGGATGTCTCCTTGAGTTCACCTTGAATGACCTCTAATTCACCTTGACCTAGTTAAAATGAAAATTTTTCTCGAAACTTTTAGGATATCACCTTGAGTTCACCTTGAACGACCTCTAAATGACATTGATGAAGGTAAAAGTGAAAATTAAAATCGAAACTTTGAAGAGATAAATTAAAATACCAAGAGAATTTGGCGGGAAATATGAATACGAAACATGTATTTATCTTTTTTCGGCAATATATTTTTAATTAATAATAATTTTAGTTAAAATAAATTGTTTATTAGGTGGAATAAATAAAAATCGGTTGTTTTACAACAATTTATTATTTATTGATATAAATTACCACTTGTACAGATTTCTATTTTACCAACATATTTTACAGTTTCCTGTAATCGTTATTGTCAAAATAATAAATACAGAACCCTTGTTTATAGATATTACTAATATTAAACAAAATTTAACAATATTCTAAATATGCAATAAGAAACAGAAAGGAGACATATCGAATTTAAAACTTAAATTAGACTTGTCAAAATATGATGATTTAAATAATTCGTTTTTAACAAAGATAAGAAGTGAAAATAGAAACGTAACAATTTCAAAACATTTTTTGGGACATAGAAAGTTCCTATTTCAAAAATAATAATAATAGGGGTATTGAAATTGTTATAAATACACTCCCTTCCTCTATAAACAAATCAAATTCAACTTTAGTCACCTTGTTAATTGTTTAAAAACATTTCTTTGTGTAAAAATGAGATTAATCATTCTTTTAATCACTCTCATCAGCGTAAGTAAACGATTTAAAATCCTAAATTTAAATTATATCGATTTCTTTTCATTATTAGATATCAAATTCGCAAATTTTTGAAGGGAATTCAACAAATTTAACTTCCTCCAGCAATCATTTAGTAAGATAACCTAAAATAAATTAAAAAAATATTTATTGTTTTGTTGTAGACAACGAAATCACCAAATACTTCGATTAATTCGTCACTTAATTCATCAATTCCTGTTAAAGAAATCATAAACGATGATATTTTAATAAGTTATCCAAGTAATTTTGGTGGAATCTTTCAAATCGCGCTTGAAGATCCAACATTAAACTTTGATTCAGAACATGATATTAACCATCACCCATTTTGGTTCTTACGCCCCGTTTTTAAAAAGATTTCGAACGTTGTAAATTATTTAAATCATCCAAATACCGCTTTAACACCAGCGCAAATTCTTCAAAAGTTTAAACATAAATTATCGGTGCTTATAAATAAAACTTACAAAGATATTTGTGAAGAAAAGTAATAAATTGAAAAGTGCTTATTTTAATTGTTATTAAGGTTTAAACAACAAAATATAACCTCAAAATTAGATTAAAAAGTGAAATGTCAATTTTGAGTCGGTAATGTAGATGACTTCATTGAGTCGATAAAGTAGATTTCATTAATATTGTTAAATATTAATTAAATCAATTGTTACTTTTTAAACAGTTTTGTTATTTAAAATTTCAATCCAATAACCATCAGGATCAGTGATGAAAGCAATCGTTTTCATTTTTCCATCTTGAGGACGCTTTATAAAGTTTACACCCATTTTTTCAAACCGTTCGCAAGCTTTTTCAACATTTGGGACCATCAATCCAATATGACCTTATCATAATGTTATAATTAAATAAATATAACCTAAATAAATTTGATTTTTACCAAAACCCCTTGGATCGGAATTTCCGTTATGATATTTAAAATTAGGATCATTTTCCGTTCCCCAATTGCTATTAAAAAAATAAATAATTTAAAAAAATTAAATTAATTAATTAATACATACTGTGTGAGCTCTAAAGTAGCCTTCCTAGAAATAGCCCATTCGCTACGCTCTTTCGTGCCTAATTCCCCAATTACATCCTCAGCTTCTTCAAATCCCATAAAATAAAGCGAAAATTTCATCTCTGGAAAATCCATTTTTTGCAATAATCTCATCCCTAAGATTTCCGTGTAAAACGGAAGAGTCACTTTTGGATCTTTAATGCGAAACATCGTTTGTTGGAAAATAAATTCCTTAATTAATAAGAAAAAAAATCGTTTTAATAAATTGAGGTTATGTTGCATTAGTTACCTTCGTTGTTGGATCCGGTTCTTTGCATAATTTTAAAGCCTCTTCGTTCGAAATTGGTATGGAGTCGCCCATTTTTGATTAAATGAATGCAATATGGTGCTTATTTTAATTGTTATTAACGTTTTATCAACAAAATTTAATCTTAAACTTAGATTAGAAGGTGAAATGTCAATTATTTAGGTCGGTAATGTAGATGACATAATCGAGTCGATAAAGTAGATGACTATTACAAAATTAAATTTTTAATTTATAAATTAATTAAAATATTTTAAATAAATAATATTTAGATTAAAAGGTGAAAATCTTGTTTATAGATATACATCTAAATATTTATTAACCTTGCATATAGATTTTAAGAATCTATTTAAGGTGAAAATGTCAACTTGACGTCGGTAATGTAGATGACATAATAGCGTCGATAAAGTAGACTTGGTTCATATCGCAAAATTAAATTGTTATTAATTTATACTCTATTTTTTAATACAGAGTGTTTTCAAATTGAAGCACCAAAATGAAGGGTTGCTGAAAAAAACTTTCAGATGTTAATCTCAACTTTAATTTTATTATTATATTCGTAATCTTTATAAAATAACCTTTAAAATGAGTCCAAACATGACGCAGTTACCTCAAAAAACGAAAAAATTAGAATAAAAAATGTTAAACGCGAAGTTAGCAACAATTTAATTTTTAAATATTAGTACCAACCTTAATTTCTAATTTTTTTTTATTATATTCTTGTTTTTATGTCAAATTTTAAGACATTTAATAAAAATTAAAAATATGTCAAAATGACATTGACATTTCAAACCGGAAGTCGCTTATATCTCGGGTAATATTGGAATTAAACGTATCATGTTTGGGCTTATTTTAAAGGATTTTTAATGAAGATTACAAATATGTCAAAATTGAGGTTGACATTTCTAACCGGAAGTTGACCTTAACTTCATTAATATTGAAGATAAATATGTCGTGTTTGTACTCATTTTAAAGGATTTTTAATGAAGATTACAAATATGTCAAAATTGAGGTTGTCTTTTCAAACCTGAAGTTAGTTATTCATATAATAGACAAATGGACAACTTCGTGGTGTTCTTTCATGATGTATTCTATATTAAAAAAACCTTTAAAATGTGTCCAAACATGATGCATTTATCTCAAAAAACCAAAAAGTTCGAACTTTCAACTTTTAATTTTGACATATTTGTCAACTTCATAAAAAATCCTTTAAAATGAGTCCAAACTCGACATATTTAACTTTAATATTAATGGAAATACAATCACTTCCGGTTTGAAACGTCAACGTCAATTTTGACATATTTGTCATCTTCATTAAAAAACCTTTAAAATGAGTCCAAACATGACGCATTTATCTCAAAAAACCAAAAAGTTCGAACTTTCAACTTTTAATTTTGACATATTTGTCAACTTCATAAAAAATCCTTTAAAATGAGTCCAAACTCGACATATTTAACTTTAATATTAATGGAAATACAATCACTTCCGGTTTGAAACGTCAACGTCAATTTTGACATATTTGTCATCTTCATTAAAAAACCTTTAAAATGAGTCCAAACATGACGCATTTATCTCAAAAAACCAAAAAGTTCGAACTTTCAACTTTTAATTTTGACATATTTGTCAACTTCATAAAAAATCCTTTAAAATGAGTCCAAACTCGACATATTTAACTTTAATATTAATGGAAATACAATCACTTCCGGTTTGAAACGTCAACGTCAATTTTGACATATTTGTCATCTTCATTAAAAAACCTTTAAAATGAGTCCAAACATGACGCATTTATCTCAAAAAACCAAAAAGTTCGAACTTTCAACTTTTAATTTTGACATATTTGTCAACTTCATAAAAAATCCTTTAAAATGAGTCCAAACTCGACATATTTAACTTTAATATTAATGGAAATACAATCACTTCCGGTTTGAAACGTCAACGTCAATTTTGACATATTTGTCATCTTCATTAAAAAACCTTTAAAATGAGTCCAAACATGACGCATTTATCTCAAAAAACCAAAAAGTTCGAACTTTCAACTTTTAATTTTGACATATTTGTCAACTTCATAAAAAATCCTTTAAAATGAGTCCAAACTCGACATATTTAACTTTAATATTAATGGAAATACAATCACTTCCGGTTTGAAACGTCAACGTCAATTTTGACATATTTGTCATCTTCATTAAAAAACCTTTAAAATGAGTCCAAACATGACGCATTTATCTCAAAAAACCAAAAAGTTCGAACTTTCAACTTTTAATTTTGACATATTTGTCAACTTCATAAAAAATCCTTTAAAATGAGTCCAAACTCGACATATTTAACTTTAATATTAATGGAAATACAATCACTTCCGGTTTGAAACGTCAACGTCAATTTTGACATATTTGTCATCTTCATTAAAAAACCTTTAAAATGAGTCCAAACATGACGCATTTATCTCAAAAAACCAAAAAGTTCGAACTTTCAACTTTTAATTTTGACATATTTGTCAACTTCATAAAAAATCCTTTAAAATGAGTCCAAACTCGACATATTTAACTTTAATATTAATGGAAATACAATCACTTCCGGTTTGAAACGTCAACGTCAATTTTGACATATTTGTCATCTTCATTAAAAAACCTTTAAAATGAGTCCAAACATGACGCATTTATCTCAAAAAACCAAAAAGTTCGAACTTTCAACTTTTAATTTTGACATATTTGTCAACTTCATAAAAAATCCTTTAAAATGAGTCCAAACTCGACATATTTAACTTTAATATTAATGGAAATACAATCACTTCCGGTTTGAAACGTCAACGTCAATTTTGACATATTTGTCATCTTCATTAAAAAACCTTTAAAATGAGTCCAAACATGACGCATTTATCTCAAAAAACCAAAAAGTTCGAACTTTCAACTTTTAATTTTGACATATTTGTCAACTTCATAAAAAATCCTTTAAAATGAGTCCAAACTCGACATATTTAACTTTAATATTAATGGAAATACAATCACTTCCGGTTTGAAACGTCAACGTCAATTTTGACATATTTGTCATCTTCATTAAAAAACCTTTAAAATGAGTCCAAACATGACGCATTTATCTCAAAAAACCAAAAAGTTCGAACTTTCAACTTTTAATTTTGACATATTTGTCAACTTCATAAAAAATCCTTTAAAATGAGTCCAAACTCGACATATTTAACTTTAATATTAATGGAAATACAATCACTTCCGGTTTGAAACGTCAACGTCAATTTTGACATATTTGTCATCTTCATTAAAAAACCTTTAAAATGAGTCCAAACATGACGCATTTATCTCAAAAAACCAAAAAGTTCGAACTTTCAACTTTTAATTTTGACATATTTGTCAACTTCATAAAAAATCCTTTAAAATGAGTCCAAACTCGACATATTTAACTTTAATATTAATGGAAATACAATCACTTCCGGTTTGAAACGTCAACGTCAATTTTGACATATTTGTCATCTTCATTAAAAAACCTTTAAAATGAGTCCAAACATGACGCATTTATCTCAAAAAACCAAAAAGTTCGAACTTTCAACTTTTAATTTTGACATATTTGTCAACTTCATAAAAAATCCTTTAAAATGAGTCCAAACTCGACATATTTAACTTTAATATTAATGGAAATACAATCACTTCCGGTTTGAAACGTCAACGTCAATTTTGACATATTTGTCATCTTCATTAAAAAACCTTTAAAATGAGTCCAAACATGACGCATTTATCTCAAAAAACCAAAAAGTTCGAACTTTCAACTTTTAATTTTGACATATTTGTCAACTTCATAAAAAATCCTTTAAAATGAGTCCAAACTCGACATATTTAACTTTAATATTAATGGAAATACAATCACTTCCGGTTTGAAACGTCAACGTCAATTTTGACATATTTGTCATCTTCATTAAAAAACCTTTAAAATGAGTCCAAACATGACGCATTTATCTCAAAAAACCAAAAAGTTCGAACTTTCAACTTTTAATTTTGACATATTTGTCAACTTCATAAAAAATCCTTTAAAATGAGTCCAAACTCGACATATTTAACTTTAATATTAATGGAAATACAATCACTTCCGGTTTGAAACGTCAACGTCAATTTTGACATATTTGTCATCTTCATTAAAAAACCTTTAAAATGAGTCCAAACATGACGCACTTATCTCAAAAAACAAAAAAGTTAGAATAAAAAACATTAAACCCGAAGTTAGCAACAATGAAGATAGCAATTTAATTTTTAAATATTAATACCAACCTTAATTTTTGATTTTTTTTTATTATATTTTTGTTTTTGTGACAAATATTAAGACATTTTATAAAAATTAAGAATATGTCAAAATGACATTGACATTTCAAACCAGAAGTTGCTTATATCTCGAGTAATATTGGAATTAAACGTATCATGTTTGGACTCATTTTAAAGGATTTTTCACGACGATTACAAATATGTCAAAATTGACGTTGACATTCTTAACCGGAAGTTGACCATAACTTCATTAATATTGAAGATAAATATGTCGTGTTTGTACTCATTTTAAAGGATTTTTAATGATGATTACAAATATGTCAAAATTGAGGTTGATATTTCTAACCGGAAGTTAGTTATCATATAATAGACAAATGAACAACTTCATGTTGTTCTTTCATAATGTATTATTTATTAAAAAACCTTTAAAATGAGTCCAAACATGATGCATTTATCTCAAAAAATTAAAAAGTTAGAATAAAAAACATTATACCGGAAGTTGGCAACAATGAAGATAGCAATTTGATTTATAAATATTAATACCAACCTTAATTTTTGTTTTTTTTTGTTATATGTATCTTTGTTTTTGTGACAAATTTTAAGACATTTTATAAAAATTAACAATATATCAAAATGACATTGACATTTCAAACCGGAAGTCGTTTATATCTCGGGTAATATTCGATTTAAACATATCATGTTTGGGCTCATTTTAAAGGATTTTTCACGACGATTACATATGTCAAAGTTGAAGTTGACATTTGCAACCGGAAGTTGACCTTAACTTCATTAATATTGAAGATAAATATGTCATGCTTGTACTCATTTTAAAGGATTTTTAATGAAGATTACAAATATGTCAAAATTGAGGTTGACTTTTGGCACATGAAGTTTGTTATCACATAATAGACAAATTGACAACGTCATGGTGTTCTTTTATGATGTATTATTTATTAAAAAAAACCTTTAAAATGAGTCCAAACATGATACATTTATCACAAAAAAGAGAATAAAAAACATTAACCTTGAATCTTGAATGATTCTGGTTCTAGGTCTTGTGTTAGTTTTAGCATAATAATATTTTATGCTAACTAGCGCTACCTACCATTGCCACTAGAACTAGCACAAGACCGAGAACTAGAATCATTCGGGTTTAGCCGTCTTTAGAGACGTGCGGCTAAATCCGAATGATTCTAGTTCTAGGTCTTGTGTTAGTTCTAGTGATAGTGCTAGTGTAAAACTAGAACTAACAATAGCCCCGGTTTTTATTGTTTAAACAAATAAGTAATTATTGTTCGTAACAACAATTTACTTAAAATGCTCTCTAGTTTTAAAACTCCCGCCAAAAAATACCAGGTTATTAGGTCTATAGATATACATCTATATTATTATATCTATTAACAAGGGTGAAAATGTCAACTTCAAGTCGGTAATGTAGATTACTTAATCGGGTCGGTAAAGTAGTTAGCAATAAAAGAAATTTTGACGTAATTGTATCGCAAAATTAAATTATTATTATTTAATTAATAAATCAATTAAATTGTTTTAAATAAATAATGATTAAAAGAAAAGCTCCTTCTGAAGATAATCCGAATCACGATTTCTACGAGTTCTTAATCGATAATTTAAAATCAACACAAAAACAATCATAACCTCACTTTTTATTTACATCAAATTTCCTTTAATTAAATTTAGAATTAGCCGATTACGAAAAGAATGCAAATCGTAACATTTATAAATATAACCCGTATAAAAAAACTTTGAAAAATTACACTGTGTAAACGTGACTTTTCATTTTACTTTTCCGAATTAACAAATAGAGTACCTATATAAATTAATTAAGATATTTTAAATAAATAATCTTTAAATTAAAAAAGGCTAAAAAATAAGGATAAAAATGTCAACTTCAAGTCGGTAATGTAGATGACTTAATCGGGTCGGTAAAGTAGTTAGCAATAAAAGAAATTTTGACGTAATTCGTATCGCAAAGTTAAATTATTATTTAATTTATAAATCGATTAAATTGTTTTAAATAAATAATGAGTAAAAGAAAAGCTCCTTCCGAAGATAATCCGAATCAAGATTTTTGCGAGTTCTTAATCGGTAATTTAAAATCAACACAAAAACAATCATAACCTCACTTTTTATTTACATCAAATCTCCTTTTATTAACTTTAGAATTAGCCGATTACGAAAAAGAATCTAAATCGTAAGATTTACAAATACAACGCGTATAGAAAAACTTTGAAAAATTACCCTGTGTAAACGTGACTTTTCATTTTACTTTTCCGAATTAACAAATAGAGTATATAAATTAATTAAAATGTTTTAAATAAATAATCCTTAAATTAAAAAAGTTTAAAAAATAAGGATAAAAATGTCAACTTCAAGTCGGTAATGTAGATGACTTAATCGGGTCGATAAAGTAGTGAGCAATAAAAGAAATTTTGACGTAATTCGTATCGCAAAATTAAATTATTATTTAATTTATAAATCGATTAAATTGTTTTAAATAAATAATGAGTAAAAGAAAAGCTCCTTCTGAAGATAATCCGAATCAAGATTTTTGCGAGTTCTTAATCGGTAATTCAAAATCAATACAAAAACAATCATAACCTCACTTTTTATTTACATCAAATCTCCTTTAATTAACTTTAGAATTAGCCGATTACGAAAAGAATGTAAATCGTAACGTTTATAAATACAACGCGTATAGAAAAGCAGCCAGCGTATTGGGAAATCACCCAATTAAAATAACATCAGGAAAAGAAGCAAAAAAACTAAATGGAGTTGGAGAAAAAATCGCGAAAAAAATCGACGAATTCCTACAAACAGGAAAATTACAAAAACTAGAAAACGTATGTAACAAATAATCTCAATTAATACAATTATCTCAAATTAAGAATGATTTTTTAAGATTCACAAAGACGAATCGTCGATCGCGATAAACGAATTAACGAGGGTGAGCGGAATTGGTCCGGCGAAAGCTCAAAGTTTATTCGCGTCTGGTATCAAAAGTTTAGACGATTTAAAACGCAATCAAAGTTCGTTGAATCACCACCAAAAAGTGGGGTTAAAACATTTAGAAGATTTCGAAAAAAAAATCCCTCGCAACGAAATCCAAGAGATCGAAGCGATTTTAAAAAGCGAAATTTCCAAGCTCGACCGCAACTTTAAAGTTACAATTTGCGGAAGTTACAGGAGAGGAAAATTGGAAAGCGGCGATATCGACACTTTAATAACTCACCCTGCGTTTACGAGTAAATCAAAGAAAATTAAACAGAATTATTTGAGTGATATCGTTGATGTTTTAAGGGGTGATTTAATCAAGGAAACTTTGTCTTTGGGGGAAACTAAGTTTATGGGGGCTTGTAAGTTGGGGGGTAATAATGATAATAATAAGAATGTAATGAGGAGGATTGATATTCGGTTGATTCCTTATGACCAATATTTTTGTGGGGTTCTTTATTTTACAGGGTCTGATTTGTTTAATAAGGAGATGAGGGGGTTCGCTTTGCAAGAGGGGTTTACTTTGAATGAGTATTCGTTGAGACCTTTGGGGGTAACGGGGGTTCCTGGGGAAGCTGTTGAGATAAGTTGTGAAAAGGATATTTTTGATTGTTTAGGGTACCCTTATAAAGAACCGCATGAAAGAAATAAATAACTAACTTTGTTCTATTTCTAATTATGGATGATTTCAATAAAAGTGAGGTTAGATTGAGAAAAGTAATATAATTTTTGCAAAGCAATTCGTTACAAAAATTGAATGTACTTACTCTGCGTTAAAAACGGATCTTTCAGCTTCATTTAATGCGAAAATTGATTAATATAATTATTATAAAAGTTTATCTTGACGCAACAAGTGATTTTTTTTAAAGATGTCGGTGCTTATTGACAGATCACCATGGTAACGGCAGGGTTGAAAACTTTTAAACGAAAAATTATTTTACTCGCAAAATTTTCGTACTTTTCTGCCGATGGAATAAGAAATAAAACTAAAACTAGAAATTTTCGTGTTATGTCGTGCGTCAAAGACGCAAAATGAGTTAAATAATTTTTTTAATGAAACGTTAAAAATGTCACTTGAAAGAAACGCATAGGAGATAGCGCCATCTATTAAAGAAAGTTGTAAAGTAAAATTTTTTTTTAATGAAACGTCAAAGAAAATGTCATTTGAAAAAGTGAGGTTAGGTTGTGTCGAAAAAGTGAGATTAAAAATCCTCATCATTATTTTCTAGCACAGTTGTAAAGTAACACGGCCGTTTTCGAAGACATCGGCCGCCCCCGGCCTTCGGGGCCGCAAAAATCATTGAAATCAAGGTTTGATCTCTACACGCATTTGTGAAAATGAACATTTCATGCTTTCGGGGGCGGCCGATGTCTTCGAAAACGGCCGTGTTAGTTTAAAACTGTGTTATTTTTGTTTATCTATGTTATGTTCGTCCCAACCTCACTTTTCCAAGTGACATGTTTGACATTTCGTTAAAAAAAATTTATTTTATTTATTCAGTGCGTCTTCGACGATTTTCTTTCGTATTAGCGGCTTATAAGAAGTGATCTTGCTTGAAACAGCCGCAAAAAGTAAACTCGGCCGACTTCGAAGACGTCGGCCGCACACAAGATACGAAATAACCATCTACACAAGATCTCAATGTTCCGCAATAATAACTAATTCGTTGCAAAAATTGAATGTACTTACTCTGTGTTAAAAACGGATCTTTCAACTTTATTTAATGCGAAAATTGATTAATATAATTATTATAAAACTTTATCTTGACGCAACAAGTGATTTTTTTAAAGATGTCGGTGCTTATTGACAAATCACCATGGTAACGACAGGGTTGAAAACTTTTAAACGAAAAATTATTTTAGTCGCAAAATTTTCGTACTTTTCTGTCAATGGAATAAGAAATAAAACTAAAACTAGAAATTTTCGTCTTTGACGCACGGCATAACCTTAAAATTTCTAGTTTTAGTTTTATTTCTAACGCAAAATGAGTTAAAACCTTTGATTATATATAATCAAAGGTTAAGACATTTTTTTAATGAAACGTCAAAAATGTCACTTAAAAGGAGATAGCGCCATCTATCGGAAAAAGTCTAAAAATGTACGTTCGCAACTATCTTCTCATCATGTCAAATATTTTAACGTACTTTAAAACCACGAGAAACACGAGAATTATTATTTTTTTTTTTTTAATGAGTGACTAAAATGAACCTCTATGACACAAATTTCTTTTTAGTTTTATTTCTAAAGCTAAGTGAGTTAAAAATTTTTTAATGAAACGTCAAAAAAAATGTCATTTGAAAAAGTGAGGTTAGGTTGTAACACAATTTTAAACTAGCACGGCCGTTTTCGAAGAAATCGGCCGCTAAAACATTGAAATCAAGGTTTGATCTCTACACGTATTTGTGAAAATGAACATTTCGTGCTTTCGGGGACGGCCGATGTCTTCGAAAACGGCCTTGTTAGTTTAAAACTGTTATTTTTGTTTATTTATGCTATGTTCGTCCCAATCTCACTTTTCCAAACCAACATAACCTCACTTTTTCAAGTGACTTTTTTTGACGTTTCGTTAAAAAAATAGTATACATACACTTGGTCACGAAAGTTTTCGTACAGGCTAGAACTTCGTATTTATGAACAAAATAATTATTTATTTATAACTATTATGAAACATTTTACATATTTTCAATGATTAATAATGATTTAAAATTAAAATATATGCTTCTAGTAAGAATTAAAAAAGATAACAAAGATAAACGATATTTTTTTAACTTATTTATTTATTTAAATAGAATATACTTTATTTTAGCCATAAAATGTTATTAACTGTTTATATTATACATTTCGATAGCGAAATGTAGCAAAATTTATAAATAATCGGTTATTTTGTTGTTTTTTCACCTGTACGAAGACTTTTGTGACTAAGTGTATGTCAGATTTCCATAGGAACCGAAGGTGAGTGTTGAAAGATGTACAAGTTAGTGGAAAATATAAGTGTGAAACCTTCAACTTTTTTTTTGCCTACATATTTTTTTATACAAATGGAAAAATGATTTGCTTAAACGGTTGTAGTACAGACAGGAAATACCCAGGTTTGCAGAGGAAGGGTTAATTGATATATGACATGTAAACAAGCGTTTGTATCAAATTGTTAATTGTCATCATTATGCATAAAATTAATAAATTGATTAAAATGACTATTTTATAGAAGTGAAATATTTAATTACTTACCACGTGTGAGTGCTGTCCATAGTTTTTTAGTTAATATCCGTTACGTTTAAATAAAGAGTTGTTCCTTTAAAAGTTTTATGTTTAGCTAGCAGTGATTGAAAAAAATTTCAATCACTCGTTTTTATGAAAGTCAACAGAGTGAATGGAAATAACAACTTTCAACACTCTTATCCAAGTTAGAAACTGACAATTTCGAAGGTAGGATTGAACAAAATAAGTTAAAACATTTTTTAATGAAACGTCAAAGGAGGAGTCAATAGGAGATAGCGCCATCTTTCGGAAAAAGTCAAAAAATGTACGTTAGTAACTATCTTCTCATCATGTCAAATATTTCAACGTGATTTAAAACCACGAGAAACACGAATTATTATTTGATTTTTTTTATAACGTAAAAGAATGACTAAAACGAACTTCTATGACGCAAATTTCTTTTTAGTTTTATTTCTAAAACTGAGTTAGTTAAATTTCTTTTCCGTCGACCGTATATTTATACGATTTATAAATGTATACAAAATCATTCATTAATGACACTTATTAATAAACGATTTTAATGTGTCAAAAGTCAAAACTTATTATTGTAGTGTTACCGAATACATATAGCGGTCGGTATTACAGATTTCATTCGAGAATATTTACTAAATTGACTACTATATTAGTTCGGTCGGACTTTCTTAAAGTTTGCCAGTAATAGAATTGGGCGATTTTTCAATGATGGATTTTCTCTATTTTGTTGAAAAGACAGTCAACGGAAAAATATTGTAACTTACTCGTATATTAAAATGCGATTAATTATCTCAATAATTATTCGCCTTCATTAATACATTTGTTGTTTAAATAACTAATTAATGAAATGTCAAAAAAAAGTCATTTGAAAAAGTGAGGTTAGGTTGTGTCCGAAAAGAGATTAGAAATCCTCATCATCAATTTCTAGCTCAGTTTTAAACTGACACGGCCGTTTTCGAAGACATCGGCCGCCCCCGGCCTTCGCGGCCGCTAAATCATTGAAATCAAGGTTTAATCTCTACACGTATTTGTGAAAATGAACATTCCGTGCTTTCGGGGGCGGCCGATGTCTTCGAAAACGGCCGTGTTAGTTTAAAACTGTGTTATTTTTGTTTATCTATCTTAGGTTCGTCCCAACCTCACTTTTCCAAGTGACATCTTTTGACGTTTCGTTAAAAAAAAATTATTTTACTCACTCAGTGCGTCTTCGACGATTTTCTTTCATATAAGAAGTTACCTCGCTTGAAACAGCCACAAAAAGTAAACTCGGCCGACTCTTTCAGCTTCATTTAATGCGAAAATTGATTAATATAATCGCGATAATTATTATAAAACTTTATCTTGACGCAACAAGTGTTTTTTTTAAAGATGTCGGTGCTTATTGACAGATCACCATGGTAACGGCAGGGTTGAAAACTTTTAAACGAAAAATTATTTTAGTGGCAAAATTTTCGTACACTTTTCTGCCGATGGAATAAGAAATAAAACTAAAACTAGAAATTTTAGGAAATTTTATTTAATTTTTCAAAATTTCTAGTTTTAGTTTTATTTCTAATGCAAAATGAGTTAAAACATTTTTTTAATGAAACGTCAAAAATGTCACTTAAAAGGAGATAGCGCCATCTATCGGAGAAAACCTAAAAGTAAACGTTTGTAACTATCTTCTTATCATATCAAATATTTCAACGAGATTTAAAACCAGGAGAAACACGAATTATTATTTGATTTTTTTATAACGTAAAAAGAATGACTAAAGCGAACTTCTATGACGAAAATTTTCTTTTTAGTTTTATTTCTAAAACCGAGTTAGTTAAATTTTTTTTAATGAATGTCAAGAAATGTCATTTGAAAATGTGAGGTTAGGTTGCGTTGGAAAAGTGATCATTTTCTAGCACAGTTTTACTATTTAATTATCTTATTTAATCACTTAACTAAAGGATATAAAACACTAAGCCAAAGGAAAGTAAGAAAAAATATACACTGGGTTATCACCAGTTATCACACCAAACGATAAACCAAAAATGTGACGTTTGCTTTCACCTCTGAGTTTGACGTTAATTATATATAAATGTTATAAATTTTTCTATGGTTATAAGCGCTTTGTTTGTGTAGATAATGCAGATTGCTGCAAATTCAGTCTACAACGTCGTCCAGTGGATTGCGAGGGTACTAAACCTCCGTCTATATTTTTATAGTGATTTATCTATCTTATGTTCGTCCCAACATCACTTTTCCAAACCAACATAACCTCACTTTTCCAAATCACATTTTTCGACGTTTCGGTAAAAAGAAATTCATTTTACTCACTTTGTGCGTCTTCGACGATTTTCTTTCATATTAGCGATTCATAAGAAGTGATCACGCTTAATGCAGTCACAAAAAGTAAACTCGGCCGCCCACAAGATACGAAACATCCACCTACAGAAGATCTCAA